GCCACGATCGCAAAAAGTTCAATATCGAAGTGACCGCGCTCAAAACCAATATCGACATGGAGTGCGCTAGCTACCCGAGCGATTCCTGCGAGAGTATGGCATGGTGGAAAATATTGCTGATTGTGTTGGGCACTCTACTTGGCGTGGCATTGGTCGTGTACGTGGTATTAATCTGTATCGTTCGCAGGCGCAACAATGCGGGTCGTAAACAGTGATGGTGATTTACTGTCTTATGCTAGTTTATTGTCACTTATGTATTGGTGTTTGTTTATGGTTTTGACCAGGTTGTGTTTGACTTATATTAACTAGGGATGTTTTTTAAGGGAGTGCCATAGTTTATTTTTATGTATTTTTAAGTTTCATTGACTAATTTTATTTTATTTTGTAATTCATTTATTTTTTTAAACATTATTTTTAGTATTAATTTTGTATTTTTGTTTTTTGATAATTCATTATAATTGATAATTTAATTATTCAAATATAATATTTCATTTAAAATTTCAATTGAATTTATATATTTATAAGTATTTAATAAATGTACACACAAATTGTTAAAGTGTATCATAATGAATAGTTATTAAATATAATATTTATCCAAATAAATTAATGGACATCCATAACATTTACTATTATTATATTGTAAATTAATTATATTTTATTAGAATAATTTTAATTTTAATAACAATTAATAAATTTACAATTATAATTAATTATTTATTAAATCATTTACAAATAAAATTTAATAAAAATTCGAAAATTCAAATTAAACAATAAAACTCTTATAGATAACCCAAAAAATTACCTTGGTTAAAAACAAATCACAAAACAATATTATCCAGCACATCTTCGCCGCACTCATCGGACAGGTAGTTATATTTACGGCACTCGCGCTGATTGGCCGACTCTATAGTCTTATATTTAAACTCCTTAACAGCGGTTACCTCCGGCTTTGGGCACCTCTGGTCGGCCAACACATCAATACAGTCCCATAAGTCAAATATAGCGCAACACTTTTGCCGTACGCTGTGATCGCCCCTCTCCTCGGCCTCCAATAAACCCCATTTTTGTGACACCTGTGCACCACATTTGGCAAATGCATCTAGCTGGTATATCTGGACCAGGCATTTCAGGGCATGCTCGTTTGGTTTAGGCTCCGTTGATTCACCCAGCACAATTGAACTTGTTGTTATTATGATAAATATTATGCATGGTGATGGGTGTTGTAGTTTGAACATAACAAATTATGGTAAAAATATAATTTACTTTATTTTTATCAACTTTTTAAAATGATGTAAAACATTACAAAATAAAAACAAACAAAACTCAAAAATATACAACATTTACAAAAATTTTACAAACTTTATAGATACAAAATTTTGTTAACAGTTTTAATTACATAAAAAATTTATCATCGAAAAATTTTAAAGGTCATTATTTCAAGTAAACAGTAACTGTTTGTATTAAGTCTAATTTACACTTATGGTATTTGTTATACAATGCTCAGGGTCGCCGCCACTATAATTAAGTTTTATATAATTAACACTACTTTAATTAGGTCATTATTTCAAGTAAACAGTAACTGTTTGTATTAAGTCTAATTTACACTTATGGTATTTGTTATACAATGCTCAGGGTCGCCGCCACTATAATTAAGTTTTATATAATTAACACTACTTATAATTACATAATTATTTTTTTTATATACAACAAACTATTGAAATAATTAATTAGGTTGGCACTATACAGCACCCCAATGCACCCTCTGCACCCCTGCACCCCTAGATTTGGGTAAGTATGTATAAGTAAGGGCTTGCACCCCCATGACTGCACCTCTTTGACTGCACCCCCTATGACTACATCATCACATACTGCAAAGAATATTTAAATATTTACATAATTATTAGTTTAAGAAATTAACCAGATTAAATTGCAAATATAAATAAAAATGTATACATTAAAGTATAAGTATCAAAATCATAATATTGAATTAACAAGCTATAAATACAAATTGTAAACTAATCTTTTTAAAGTATAGATTATTTTGATATTTATAATCATGGAATTCCAAATATCAAAATTATTGTATATAGTCCATACTGTACTTTCTAGAATATGAGTATTCAGAGTTCACATTTAATTCATTATTACTACTAATTTTACTATTACTAAAGAACAAATTATGGTTAATAATATTATATTAACTTAATATACAGTACAACCTCTTCCTATAAAATATACTATGTACACCTAGTGTACAGAGCTTTACTAAATGAGTATCGGGGCACTTTTCTAAATAATTTTCTCGGCAAATATGTATGATAGACAAAATTTATATATATCATTTTGACCATTATATAACCTTTTGTTGATTGATATAATTATTAATAAAAATATAATTACTGGTTGGTTAACAATTGACCCAAACCTGTGGTATACCATTTGTGACCTTTTAGGAGTAATCTGGCCAAAGATGTGGGTAATGGTTAAACCAAAGTCTCACATGATACAGATTTGCACATAAATTATTAATATATTATGTATCTACAAAATTTAAGCCAGAATTCATCTATTACAATCATATATAACAAAATTAGAGCTAATTTAAAATCTTGAAAATGCTAAAATTAACTGTTTTCAAATCTCTATGGGCATATAACATGGGCTTTAAATGTTTTAAAAGTCGACCAAAAAGAATATTTACAAAATTAAATCAAAAAATAATTTATCCATGGTTTTTGCTGTTTTATAAGATACATAAACGTTTCTACTATCATTCTACGCAAAAATCAATCAATTAATATTTGTAATTGTTGAGAAAATTAATTAGAAAAGTGCCCCGATACTCATTTAGTAAAGCTCTGTACACCTTGAAAGGCTATGTTTATAATTATAAATTAAAACTGTATATTATTAATTATATTATTTATATTATAATATTGTTTTTTATAATTGGACATATTTTTGTTTCAATTGTATAGAAGTATTTTCTTATTGTAGATATATTATGCATTATTTTATGACGTAATAATAAGGGGTGCAATCATGGGGTGCAGTCATAGGAGTGCAGGTCCCCACTTATACATACTTACCCAAATTTAGGGGTGCAGGGGTGCAGAGGGTGCAGTGGGGTGCAGTGTAGTGCCAACCAATTAATTACGAACCAAATAAATGAATTAAATGCTATATTAAGAAAAAAATAATAAAGTTACAAATATAGCATTATGTTTACTATTTTGGTAATATAAATTATAGTAAATATTTTGTTAATTAAATAATTACAGGATATCAATGTAAACAGGAAATACATTGTCTTCAAATTCATGTATGTTTTTTGGGGTTATTTTGAAATTTATATGTTATAAATTTTTAGAAATATATACATAACAATTTAATAAATACACTTTTACTCATGATAATTTAATTTATAATATTTTTAAAAGTGATTCTTGATAAACTACTTTTAGTTATAACAAACTTAATTAACAAATTAAACATAAATAATATTAGCTTTTAAATTAATCTAATAATTTTTGCTTTTGGTTATAAACTGTACTATTGTATTTAGCTTATAGTAAATAATAATACAATAATTTTGCTATGTATTTTGGACTCCAAGTGTGAGATTAATATATAATAAATCAATAACAAAATTTTAGTTTTATACATTTTCTAAAGTTTTTTTGTAGATTTGCAAAGTATTTTATATAATTATTGTAAATGTAATTATAAATCAATAGACAAAATGTTGTCGTATATTTTATTTCACATTTTTTTATTAATCAATTAAATACAGTGCAACTTCTCTTGGAGAAACTTCTCCATAAGAAATATTTCCCCATTAGAAAAGGATTTATGAAAATTTATGCAAAATTAGCACTTTATATAAGAAACTAGTAAATATTTTACATAATAATATTGATTTTGAAAGCGTATTTTCAAACCAAAAACTGAAAACAAACATAAATATCTATATTTTAAACTAGTTTAACTAAAAATAAACGAACCCGTAAATTATTAGTCTTTAAATTAAAAAGGTAATATAGATTTTATGAAATACAAATATTGCAATTAAAATCTTGTAATTGATTGGTGTAATAACAATTACATAGACCACTTTGATTGAGTTACTAATAGGATGATTATCATTGTCAGCATATTAATAAAAATACAGAATAATTAAATAATAATCAAAACAATGTCGTTTACTATTTCCAATAACATTGCAATAATGCTTAATAAATAAAAATCTGATAAATCATCTTGCTAAATGACTTTACTGTTTGTACAGTCTATTATATTAATATTTATAATTAAATAATTACATTAAAAATATCTATGGATATAATCAGTGAATACTGGCAGCCATTATAACAATACATTGTTTTATACACTTATTTAACGCTTTCATACGTATTATACAATTGCGTGAAATAAATACAATAATAATTAAACATAATAACAACAAAAGACAATCATCTGACCATGATGATTTACAAAATAGTACTAACCATATGCTTTTGTTTACTTACCACTAGCTATGGGCTGGACTTTACCAGGTTTTACGACATAAAGGGTGTACAACAGCCGCGGCCACCGAAACCTAGCAATAGGGCCGCCCATTGTCTCAACGCTATACTACCGGAGCTAAAGGAATGTCGTACTGACTCATTGACGAACTGGAATGTTACCGATTATTCGGCCCTAGGTGATGTTTGCTGCGCCCAATGGGACAATATTGAATGTGACCTAGATGCTTCGGCCAGGGTAAATTAATCAATCCATTTATTTAATAGGGAATTATTAAATTAAGTGAAAACTATATTAACCAAAATTGTAACTTGGATTATTAATATTATTTAGTTAAATAAGTATTTGCACAAACTTGATTTTGTTATAAATAATTAGTAATTATTAATTGCATAATTTTGGTATTACTTTTGGTTTTATATTCATATAATAAGCCAGCATATTGTCATAATTTTGTTAGCATAGTCATTATTCACTAATAATTATTTTAATATTATGACAGTCGGAGTGCAGCGCCCAAGACTTGGAAGATGTCAACTATTATTTCTCGGCATTAATTGATTTTTACGACACAAAAACATGCAAACAATACCCCAGAGGTGCCACCCATTGCCTACTGCCTACTCTAGTGAGCCTAGCGGAGCAAAAACAGCAATTGGATGAAGATCTAAACAACTCCCCCGTTGACCCTAAGTTGGTGTTACCTCCACAGCCCCTGCCCGACCCCCTGGCCCTCGACTGTTTCGGTACACTAAACCCGATAGTTAGGGTCGGGTGTCGCCAGGTTGCTGCTATCAAGTGGAATATTACCAGGCACAGTCGACCCCCTGTGCGTAATATATGTTGCGCCACCTGGGACGATATTGATTGCCTAGACGATATTGTTAAGATTAAGTGTCCCAGGAATGAGGTTACGGCGATTGAAAATTATTTTAACAAGGTTTGTTTGTGTATTAATTAATTGTTTTTATATTTATTTGTATGGTTGGTAGTTTTGATTTTTTTTAATGGTAGTTATAATTAGAGAACATTGTTTCTGCAAAACTGTAACAAGAATTAAATTATAACATTAAAACTAGATCAAATAGACATCTTTATAAACATTGGATCAGAATAGTCTATACTACCATAAATTTTATTCATATATTTACCAATTAATTGACAACTAAATCAGCAAGATTACTATTAATTACTATTATTTTTATTTAACTTATGTGTTAAAAGAGAAAGAACGCGAGAGAGAGAGAGAGAGAGATTCAAATTCAATTATTTAAGTATGTAAAAAAACTGTAATCTAAACATATTTATTATATTTGTAATTCTTCGTATATCCAATTTATTAAATAATTGGAACAACTTTGTAACCCTTTAATTAATAAGGTTTATTTTACCATAATAGCTGGAAAACTGGTTGACCCAGATCGCGTGCTCTAAATCATCCTACCACAGCGCCAACTGTAGCCACCCATTGGACACAATCCGTCCGTACGAACCGCTGCCCACACCTGCCGACGAGAATAGGGGTTCGTTCAATGGGCCCGACATTAGGGTACAGTTGGACTACCAGGAGGTCGATATGATATTCCCGGCGCCCAAACAGTCCCGCAGTCAACAGGCAGTTATAGGGGACGACTCGGCAGTGCTCGAGTCAGGCCAACTCAATGCTGACTATAGAAACTTTATGGTGCATTACATGATGGCCGTAATGCCACACATGCTCAACCTGATGGCCCTGTTGGCCGTGATCTTGGTTGTTGTGATTTGTATCCAGTGTTTTATTATGGCCAGACAAGTTAAGCATGAGCGATATTTCAAAATGATAAATGACCAGGGTTATCAGAAATTAAACATTTAGTTTTGTTTTGTTTGTTTTTTAAAGCTCATAGAGTTATTATTGAATTTATGTTAGTTTTGTATTTTCTATAAGAGTTTTTAAATATAATAATCAGAATATTGTTTATTTTAAAATAATTTTATTATAAGAAAGTAAATTTTGTTTGGAAAATTGTAATAGTCTTAAAGCATAGTATTTAATTATTGATAGAGTGCCTTGAACAAATTATTATAGTTATTACTTTTCGATTTAACAGTACAATTGTACTTTTAAAAATACAATGTCAATTTTAATTAAATAAAAGTGCAATTTTTAAAAATTAATGTAATACAATAAGATTGTCAAAAAGTTTAATTAACAAATCAAGCAAATTGTGCTTTTGAATTTTAAACTACATTATTATAGTTGTAACTACATTGTAGTTATTATTAAATAAAATTTATAAATTTGTGAAATAACAAACATGTTTTACATTATCACTAATCTACTTAACCCTTTTCCACACTCGTATGGCCTGATTCCGGGGCCGCACTTCCCCGCCCGACACCATAAACTTTAGATTCCAGTTATTAGTGCCACCCGTTTGTCCCGTATATACCAAATCACTCCACGCGCCGGACACTAGTGTATGATTATATGGTGTAGTCTCACCATTTGAAACCTCTTGTACCATTGTCAATCTCGGTGAATTTTCTTCTTGAACAATATCAAACTGACTAGCATTGCCACCTTCGGCCCGGAAAAATAACCCGGCATACAACGGTGTCACATTGTCCCAGGTCATTGTAGGCCATAAAGTAATCGGGTCGGGCTGTCCCGGGAGCTGTGTGTACAGCATACCCACCGGCATGATCTCCTTTTTCATGTCATCAAGTTGCTGTTGCATTTTCATTATTTTATCTCGAATAATATCCTCTGTCCAGGGTAATACACGCTGACAAACCACCAGGTTATTTTTGTGACACGGCTCGTCTACCCATTTACCCAAATTGGGTGCCTCGGGTTGCATTTGAACGCACTGTTGGTTTGTGTCTAGGGGTCGACCATCTTGCCAATTCTCGTAGCCACCCTTGGTGCTGTCCACCCATGTCACTTGTTTATGTTCCACCTGAGCGCCCAGCCATACGGTGTCCACAATTTTTTTCGTGGTAAATAAATAGTTGGTCAAAAAGTCCTGCTCCTCTTGCGATCGGATCACCGCTAGACTCGAACCTTGAGTCATATTCCAGCACTTGGCCACAGCGGCCACATAATAGAGCATGGTGCCGTCTAATACCTTGAAACATTTCTCGTTGCCATACCGTTCCCACCCATCGCATATATCATTGGCTTGACCATGGTTGACTATTTAATAAATGTTATATACAGTATTAAATCATAATATTTATTATATTTATTTTATCGTGTTAAATATTGTAAGTAAATGTTACTTACTATAAAAATATAATAAACACAAATAATGAAAATAATATTTTAAAATCATTATGATATTATGTTAGCTATTAGGTATTAATTAAAATGCAATTATAATAAAAAAGTAATTATTATGGAAGTGTTCCTTTATAAAATCAGGGTTATATACAATGTATTAATTTAATTAAAAATGTAGGTTACAAATCCGTTCTCACTTCAATCAATGTGTTATAGGTATTTAGTGCAATTATATTGTACTTAATACACCTATCATAGTAAACGAACAAGGTAGTAACCACATTAAAATAAAATTACTTTAAAATATATCAACAATAAATAGAAAATACTTATAATTAACAATTTTCCACCTTGGTATAGTGTAATAGGCAAATTAATTTCATAATTAATTTGCCTAAAATCAATAAAATACTATAACTTATATTCTATAATAGAACCTTGGCTATTTCTATTTATTGCTGCTTTTTTAATGCAATATTATTTGATTAGAAAACACTTAAACTAAAAGTTAAACCGCAATTTTCTCACCAAATAATATTAATATTTAAGTTGTTGATTTTTATAAAACGTTATCTTGTTCAAATACAATCATTTAGTAATTAGTGCATTTGTTGCAATATAAAATTCAACATTTTTTCTTTTATATTATTAATTTAGCAATTATATTAAATCAGTAAAAATAAAAATCTAATCTAGATAGTATTTTAAACGTAAAAATGTGTTTAAAGTTGTATATTGTATAATGATTTCATCATGTAAAATTTATATAATATTTTTGGTTAAATTATATGCGATAAAAATATACATGTCAGTGACTATTAATAAACTGATAAATATTGAAGAGCTTAACCCTTCGTTGACGTCTGTTTCTCGTCCATTGGAGTGTCGGCAACTGTTGTCTCTCATTGGTAGTGGCGGAGACTTCGAGGGGCGCTCTACCTGAAACTCTATTACTCATAATGTA